CTGAGTCTGTCTGTCCTCCGTCCGTCGGGGGTGAGTGTGCTCTAGGAACGGACGTCCTTGAGGACAGGCAGGAGGAGTTTGAGTGCTTTGCTCCTGCTTTACCTCATCTCTCGTCACCGGAGGGAGACTCGGATGTACCAGACATCCCGACCCCGCACTCTTACGCTGAGGCGATCGCGGGTGAGTACTCCTCTTAGTGGCAGTCAGCCATGGACGCAAAGATGGCATCCTGGAAGTCCACTGCCACTTGTCTTACGTTGACGAGGTTCCCCCTCCTGGGGCGAACATCGTTAGTGGCAAGTGGATTTTCATGGTGAAGCGGCCGCCAGGTTCTCCGCTTGTCTTCAAGGCTCGTTACGTTGCTCGAGGTTTCAGTCAGCGAGAGGGAGTAGACTTCTTCCAGACCTTCTCCCCCACCCCGAAGATGACCACTCTTTGGGTGCTACTACACGTTGCCGTCAGCGTGACTACGAGCTTCACTCTCTTGACTTCAGCATGGCTTCCTTGCAGGGTAGTCTGCACGAGGAGATCTGGCTACGCCGCCCTCTTGGCTTCAATGGGTCGTTCCCTCATGGTACCCAGTGGAGCCTCCGGCGGCCGGTGTACGGTCTCCGCCAGGCGCCACGTGAGTGGCACAACACACTGAGGACTACACTTGCGGCTCTTGGGTTTGCTCCTTCTACTGCCGACCCGTCGCTGTTTCTGCGCACCGACACTTCGCTGCCGCCGTTCTACATCCTCGTGTACGTCGATGACTTGGTCTTTGCCACTGCTTACATTGAGGCTCTCGCCCTTGTGAAGTCGGAACTGTAGAAGAGACAGACGTGCACAGACCTGGGTGAACTGCGCAGCTACCTTGGCTTGCAGATCACCCGAGACAGAGCACACCGCACCATCCCACTGATTCAGTCACACATGGTGCAGCAGGTCCTTAAGTGCTTCCGCTTCACCTGGTCCTCGGCACAGGCCACTCCTCTGGCTACAGGTCACTCGCTCTCAGCTCTACCTTCGGACGAGTCCGTAGAACCGAGTGGTCCTTACCCAGAGCTAGTTGGGTGTCTCATGTACTTGATGACTTGCACTCGTCCTGACCTCGCATACCCTCTTGGCCTTCTCGCTCGCTACATAGCTCCTGGTCGGCACCGAAAGGTGCACATGGATGCTGCTAAGAGGGTACTGCGCTACTTGTGCAGTACATCATAGATGGGACTCGTGCTTGGAGGGAGGAGCTCAGTTGTCCTCAGATGCTTCTTGGGTTAACGACCAGGCTACGCAGTGGTCGTCACAGGGTTACACCTTCAGCCTTGGCTCTGGTTCAGTTTCTTGGTGTTCTACACGTTCGTCTTCAGTTGTCAGCTCCTGTTGTGAGGCTGAGATCTACGCCATAGCCGTGGCTGCACAGGAGTCACGCTGGCTCACCTATCTGCTGACTGACTTGGGAGAGCGGCCTCGTTCTCCTCCAGTGTTGTACGTCGACAACAAGGCTACCATTACCTTGTGTGAGGAGCACAGACTGGAGCATAGAAAGAAGCACATCGCTCTGCGTTACTTCCTGGCTCGAGAGTTGCAGCCGCGTGGTCAGCTTCGTCCGCGTTACGTGGCCACTCGGGCCAACACTACTGATATATTCACCAAGGCACTTCAGTCTAGTGATCATCAGCGTTTCTGCACTATGCTAGGGCTTGTGCCCACTTTTCCTCACTTGCTGTAGGCTTTGCTTGTACTGTAATGTATATACATATACCTGCATGCTTGCTTTGCTAGGTAGAGATCACTGTGTTGTATGTGTTTCATATATGCCTCTGCATGTGGACTGGCGTTGTGGCCCTTTGCTTGTGCTGAGAGTGTGTGGTGACGTTGTGATCCACCCTGAGTTTGCTTTCTCTTTCTTGACTGGTCTTGTGACCCCTTGCTCTCCCCCACTTTGCCTATGGGGGTGTGTCATATGTCACATCTGCTACTGTTTGTTTAGGCTGTAGTGGGGTAGTTACTATGGGGTACAATAACTTTAGGGTTTCCTACTTGTACCCAACTCTTTTCCTAGTGCAATCACTCTTGTTCATTCTGACAGTGGAGCCTCCGGCGGCCGGTCTACGGTCTCCGTCAGGCGCCACGTGAGTGGCACAACACACTGAGGACTACACTTGCGGCTCTTAGGTACGCGCCTTCTACTGCTGACCCGTCGCTGTTTCTGCGCACCGACACTTCGCTGCCGCCGTTCTACATCCTCGTGTACGTCGACGACTTGGTCTTTGCCAGTGCTGATACTGAGGCTCTCGCCCACGTGAAGTCGGAGCTGCAGAAGAGACACATGTGCATAGACCTGGGTGAACTGCGCAGCTACCTTGGCTTGCAGATCACCCGGGACAGAGCACGCCGCACCATCACACTGACTCAGTCACACATGGTGCAGCAGGTCCTTCAGCGCTTCCGCTTCACCTGGTCCTCGGCATAGGCCGCTCCTCTGGCTACAGGCCACTCACACTCAGCTCTGCCTTCAGATGAGTCCGTAGAGCCGAGTGGTCCTTACCCAGAGCTTGTTGGCTGCCTCATGTACTTGATGACTTGCACTCGTCCTGACCTAGCGTACCCTCTTGGCCTTCTGGCTCGCTACGTGGCTCATGGTAGGCACCAAAAGGTGCACTGGGACGCTGCAAAGAGGGTACTGCACCACTTGTGCAGTACATCGGGCATGTGGCTCGTGCTTGGAGGGAGGAGCTCAGTTGTTCTCACTAGGCACTCAGACGCTTCTTGGGTTGACGACCAGGCTACTCAGCGGTCGTCACAGGGTTACACCTTCAGCCTTGGCTCTGGCTCAGTTTCGTGGCGTTCTACTCGCTCGTCTTCGGTTCTCAGCTCCAGTTGTGAGGCTGAGATCTACGCCACAGCCATGGCTGCACAGGAGTTACGTTGGCTCACCTACCTGCTGACCGACTTGGGAGAGCGGCCTCGTTCTCCTCCAGTGCTGTACATGGACAACAAGGCTGCCATTGCCTTGTGTGAGGAGCACAGACTGGGGCATAGAACGAAGCACATCGCTCTGCGTTACTTCCTGGCTCGAGAGTTGCAGCAGCGTGGTCAGCTTCGTCTACGTTACGTGGTCACTCAGGCCTGATATATTCACCAAGGCACTTCAGTCTGGTGATCATCAGAGTTTCTGCACTATGCTACGGCTTGTGCCCACTTTTCCTCACTTGCTGTAGGCTTTTCCTGTACTGTGATCTATATATACATATACCTGCATGCTTGCTTGGCTAGGTTGAGATCACTGTGTTATTTGTGTTGCATATATGCCGCATGTGAACTGGCCTTGTGGTGACTTTGTGATCCACCCTAAGCTTGCTTTGTCTTTCTTGACTGGTCTTGTGACCCCTTGCCCTCCCCCACTTAGCCTATGGGGGTGTGTCAAACATTTTATGTGTTACTGTTCTATAGGCTACAATGGGTTTAGCCTTAGGGGGTACAATATTCTAGGTTTTCTTTCTTGTACTCCCAATCTTACTAGTCCAACCTCTTCTCTCATTCTGACATTGCATGCATACATCGGGTTTATATAAGGATACAAAGGAATATGAAAAGACCTAGACTAGCCATGTACTCCGAGAGGTACATTCCCTTATTGCACCGAATTCAAACCATGCGGCGCGGGAACCCGTTTCAAACCTGTTCCCGCTCTTTTCACTTCAAATGTTTCTGCCTGCATCGGTCTTGGTCAGACGGTTGCTGCGTCGCTTCGACTCTTCAAACTCCTCGACTTCGTACTCGGTAGAGTCGGCTCCTGCAGCATACAGGAATGCCTTCTCATACATCTTCATATCGTAACATGTGAAAATTCAGCCTTTTTTTTTTTCACAGGGACCCTGATGCATCAACGTCCCTAAAAGTGAATTTGAGGGCTTGCCTCTAGGCTTCATCCCAACGTAAATGCATACTTGCATATATTCACTGTCTTTTTTTGATTGCACTGAGCTTTCGCAAAATCTGTTGTCCTTGCTTACGACTAAGTTGCAGAAGTCAAGCCTATACCTAGAGGTTGTAGAGATTGCGCCTTCTAGTTCTGTCTTGTAAAATTGTATGTATTGTGTTTTAAAGCCCGAGGTCAGCATGGTAATTTTTCAAGTTATGTGAGGTTGAAATAGTCTGGCAAAAAAATGTAAATCGTGTATTTCGAAAATGTGTGTGGTGCGAAAGCGAATTCGGGATGTAGGTAAAACAGCCTCTACCACGATACTTTGTGACAGCTGTTTCGGATGATATGGGAGGGCCGAACGACTCAGTGTGCAACAGAGCATTGCTCCCACCTCACCACTGGTGGGCACACCCTACTGCTCTTGGGGTTGACATGGTGGGCAACGCGAAACTCACGCGAGTAGGAGTGAGGCAGTACACTGAACACTATGTTTACAATCTCTTATTTACTAAAATGTTTGGATGGTTTTTGAGACTTCACAAAGGGATAACAAGACATTCCAAGTGCTGAATTGGTGAGAAAAAGCATTGAAAGCAACTTATGAATCATAAGAACGAGATATGAAGAAACACGTTAGCAATCAATTTCCAAACATACACTCTCAAGCTCATATCCCGCAACGCATAAGGGTCTCGGCCGGCCACATAGCGAAATGCCGTGCCTTTTGTTGCACCACTCTGCACTCCCCAGGCCCTCCGCAGCATAGACCAGCCTTGCCCCACCGCACATATGCGGCCAGCGCTGCTGCCAGCATTCCTGTCAGCCTGCCTGCACCCTCCCGCATCTCCATAGTTTTGCCGCAGCCCCTGCCTGCCTTCACCCTGTGCTTGCCTTTGTGCCTCCCTCCCACGCCACTCCGCACTGACCATGCCGCACAACACACTCCCCTACCCTTGCCCCATGATCCACCTTCAACTCCGTACATGTAGGGGCGGCGGCAACAGAGAGGGCAGGGCCTCGTTGGGCGCAGGTCGATAGAGGGTATGGGGCAGCAGGGGAGGCTAAAGGCAGTCTCGAGAGGAGGCGCTCATCAATTGTGCCAACGGATCCAGTCATCAAAGAACTTTTGCATGCGCGTGCGTGTTGCTGCGTGGTATAGAGCAAGCAGAGAATTGCACGATCGCAGTTGGCGACGACGATGCGCAAGTTGGCACCCCCTTAGGCTTGGCAGCGGGCTGAGCAGCCAGAGAATCGCACGATCAGCAAATACCACGTCGTACCCCAGTGCAAACATGCTCTGCACCACGTGCACCTTCCGCCACACTTGCGCGCGGATGAGCAGGGAACGACTTGAGGTGGTAAGGTGGGATGGCGGTAAGGTGGGCAGGCGGTAAGGTGTGAAGGCTGTAAGGTGGGTAGGCGGTAAGGTGGACAATCGGTAAGGTGGAAGTACTCAAGGAAATAGAGCAGAGGGTGGGGAGACCCAAGGAAGAGGGACACAGGGACGAGGGACATAGGGAAGTCGGACACAGAGAAAAGGGACAGGGAAACGGGTAACATGGAGACATGGAAGGGGATGGGGGGAAGCAGGGAAGGGGATGGGGGGAAGCAGGGAAGGGGATGGGGGGAAGCAGGGAAGGGGACGGGGGGAAACAGGGAAGGGGATGGGGGGAAGCAGGAAAGGGGATAGGGGGAAGAAGGGGAGGGGATGGAGGGAAGCAGGGAAGAGGATGGGGGGAAGCAGGGAAGGGGATGGGGGGAAGCAGGGCAGTGGACGGGGAAAAGCAGGGAAAGGGATGGCGGGAGCCTGGAAAGGGGATAGGGGGAAGAAGGGGAGGGGATGGAGGGAAGCAGTGAAGAGGATGGGGGGAAGCAGGGAAGGGGATGGGGGGAAGCAGGGCAGTGGACGGGGGAAAGCAGGGAAGGGGATGGCGGGAAGCAGGAAAGGGGATGGGGTGAAGCAGGGAAGGGGATGGGGGAAAGCAGGGCAGGGGATGGGGTGAATCAGGGAAGCGGATGAGGGGAAGAAGGGGAGGGGATGGGGGGAATCAGGGAAGGGGATGGGTGTAAGCAGGGAAGGGGATGGCGGGAAGCAGGGAAGGGGATGGGGTGAAGCAGGGAATTGAGTCATCATTGTGTCATCATTCTACAAATTCAATGATCAATGCAAGGTTTGTATCTTGTTCTTTTCTACAAACACGTTTCCACTACGCTGGCACTATGCCTTACTAGCAAAGCGAAGGTCAAAGGTCAGTGACCTTTGACTTTACAAATCAGCACAATAGCAAGGACAGATAACTGACTCGCTATTGAGCAGTTACCCGAGTCGTCGCTGTATCGAACCGCATCAGCAGTTACAATTGCAGTTAGTGAAACATTTCATAAACCCTGTAATCATATACCGTATCTCTATGCCGTAATCAACTTACCAGTATCTTGTTCTCACACACCAATGCAAGGTGGTTCAATCAGCTCCATTAAATACACTTCCGCTAATACATTATCAGCTTGAGCCTTAGTCATTGAAACTATCCCAAGGGCTGTCTCCTGTGAGAATGAACGAGAATGAAATGACTAAGGGAAAGTTGGGTACAAGTACAAACCCTAGAAAGCTGTACCCCATATATGCTACCCCACTATAGCCTACAGCAGCTATGTCATATAAATCTGACACACCCCCATAGGCAAAGTGGGGGAGAACAAGGGGTCACAAGACCAGTCAAGCAAAGCAAAGCAAGCTCAGGGTGGATCACAAAGTCACAACACATTCCGAGCACAACTTCAACGCCACAAGGCCAGTTTACATGCAGGATTACATATATATATAAGGCTAGACAAGCAAGAGCAGGTGTATATATATATGTAGCAGTACAAACAAGGTCAAGGGGTGAGCAAGTGAGGCAAGGCATGCACAAGACCCAGCTGAGTACAGAAGCGCTAATGATCACAAGGCGCAAGTGCCTTGGTGAAGATATCAGCAATGTTGGCCTCAGAGGCCACGTACGCAAGGCGCAGCTGACCACGCTGTTGTAGCTCACAAGCAAGGAAGTAGCGAAGAGCAATGTGCTTCGTTTTGTGCTCCAGTCTCTGCTCCCAACACAAGGACTCGAGGAGAACGCGGCGGCTCTCCGAGGTCAGTCAGCAGGTAGGTGAGCCAGCGAAGCTCCTGTGCAGCCATGGCCCCTGCGTAGATCTCAGCCTCACAGCTGGAGCCGAGAACAGAAGAGGAGCGGGTAGCCCGCCACGAAACAGAGCCGGAACCAAGGCTGAAGGTGTAACCCTGTGACGACCGCTGCGTAGCCTGGTCGTCAGCCCAAGAAGCGTCTGCGTGCCCAGTGAGGAACACTGTACTCTGCCCTCCAAGCACAAGCCCCATGCCCAACGTACTGCACAAGTAGCGCAACACCCTCTTCGCAGCAGCCATGTGCTCCGGTGTGTGTCTCCCAGGAGCAAAATAGCGTGCGAGAATGCTAAGAGGGTATGCAAGATCAGGTCGTGTGCAGGTCATCAAGTACATGAGGCAGCCAACAAGCTCTGGGTACGGGCCACTCAACTCTAAGGACTCATCCGAAGGCAGAGCTAAGAGCGAGTGGCGAGTAGGCAGAGGAGTGGCCTGAGGCGAGGAGTACGTGAAGCCGAAGCGCTGAAGGACCTGCTGCACCATGTGTGACTGAGTCAGGGTAATGGTGCGGCGTGCTCTGTCCCGGGTGATCTGCAAGCCAAGGTAGCTGCGCAACTCACCCAGGTCTGTGCACGTGTGTCTCTTCTGCAGCTCGGAATTCACGTGGGCTAGTCCAGCAGTGTCAGCTGTGGCAAAGACCAAGTGGTCAACGTACACGAGGATGTAGAACGGCGGCAAAGACGTGTCGGTGCGCAAAAACAGCGACGGGTCGGCAGTAGAGGGAGCAAACCCAAGAGCCGCAAGTGTAGTCCTCAGCGTGTCGTGCCACTCACGCGGTGCCTGGCAGAGACCGTAGACTAGCCGCCAGAGGCTCCACTGGGTGCCAGGAGGAAAAGACCCAGTGAAGCCAGGTGGGCGACGCAGCCAGATCTCCTCTTGCAAGCTGCCGTGCAAGAAAGCAGTGCTGAAGTCAAGAGAGTGCAGCTCATAGTCACGGAGAGCAGCTTTGTGCAGCAGTACCCGAAGAGTGGTCATCTTCAGGGTGGGAGAGAAGGTCTGAAAGTAGTCAGCTCCCTGCCGCTGACTGAAGCCACGAGCCAAGTAACGCGCCTTGAAGACAGGCGGAGAACCCGGCGGCCGCTTCACCCTGAAAATCCACATGCCACTGACAATGTTCGCCCCAAGCGGGGGAACCTCGTCAACGTAGGTGCCTGTGGACTTCCAAGAAGCCATCTCTGCATCCATAGCTGCCTGCCACTGAGAGGAGTAGGGACCCTCTATCGCCTCCGCGTAAGAGCGCGGAGTCGGGATGTCAAGTGCATCCGGGTCTCCCTCAGGGGTAAGCAGTACGGACACGAGATGAGGTGAAGCAGCAGCCAAACACTGGAACTCAACCTGCCTGTCCTCAAGGACGTCCGTGCCAAGGGCACACTCACCCCTGACGGACGGAGGACAGACAGACTCAGACTCAGCAACAAGACTAGCAGAGTAGTCTAGACGACAGCGAGTAGCAAAGTCGACGAGCTCAACAACTAGGGCAGACGCCACAGTGAACTCAAAAGAAGGGTCAGTGACAACAGTAGCAAGGAGACGCGTTACAGTAGGACTGGCAGCACGAAGAGAGTCCGACTCCGGGTCGGGAAGAGCAGGAAGAGAGGACTCAGGAGGAGAAGGCAAAGGGGCACGCAAAGGAGCAGTGGACGGACGCAGAGACATCCGGTGCGTGCCAGGGACGGGTGGAGGACGCTGACGCGAACCATGACCACTAGTGCGAGCAGCACGGACATGTGACGCAGGGCAAGACACAGGCTCACGACGCTCAGCAAGACCTCCAGTAGGACCAGTGTAGGGAGAAGGAGCAGGCAGTGGGGAGGCCGGCTGTAACTATAACTGTGACAGGACAGGCTGTGGACACTCTAAGGGAGGAGGAGGACTAGTAGAAGGCGGGAGACCAGGAACCTGCTCAAGAAGCGGAACGAAGTACGGCCGAGGCCGCGCAGCGACTCCAGATACAGCAGGGACAGCACCAGTACCCCTAGTGGTAGCACCAGGACAAGCAGCACCTCCAGCTCCAGTACCTCCAGCAGCACCAGTAGCACCCCCAGCAGGACCGCCTCCAGGACTGACAGCAGTAGTCTCATCGCCACCACCCTCAGCAGCTCCAGCTCCAGTAGTACCCGCAGGCCCAGCAGCTCCAGTACTCCCAGTACGAGCACCTCCGGGACCCGCGGCACCATCACCCTCAGCAGCCGAAGAACCTCCAGCTCCAGCAGCACGCCTCCGCCGCTGGGCAAACCACTCTCGCACCTCCTGTGTAGAGAGTGGCTCCCGCCGAGACGAAGCACCCGGAGAACCTCCAGGCATAGTACCGCCAGACGCCACACGAGTAGGCCCAGCTCCCTCAGGCTGTGCACCCCCAGGCTCAGCACCTCCAGGCATAGCACCCCCAGGCTCAGCACCCCCTGTTGTAGCACCCCAAGGCTCAGCACCCCCAGGCGTAGCACCCCCAGGCTCAGCACCCCCAGGCGTAGCACTCCCAGGCTCAGCACCCCCAGACTCAGCACCCCCAGGCTCAGCACTCCCAGTCGTAGCACCCTCAGGCTCAGCACCCCCAGGCGTAGCACCCACACGCTCAGCACCCCCAGAGTCAGCACCCCCAGGCTCAGCACCCTCAGCAGCACCAGAGTCACCAGCAACCTCCACAGGCTCAATTGCTGCTAATGCTGCTGGCGCTGATCACCACCGGAGCCGACCCTCTGCGCAGCGCCACCCCAACCAGCTCCACCTCCTCCGCCGCCGCCTCCTCCACCGCCTCCACCTCCTCCACCTCCGCTCCCACCGCCACCGCCGCCGCCGCCTCCGCCTCCACTGCCGCCACCGACACCTCCACCCCCGCCACCACCCCCACCGTCACCCCCACCCCCTCCGCCGCCTCCACCGCCGCCTCCACCGCCCCCGCTAGCTCCTCCAGCGCCCCCGCCTCCCTTGCCCTTGCCAGGGCGGCGTCTTCCGCTAGGGGTAGACGCCGCATTGACCGACTCAATACCAACGAGGTCGGCCGCAACAGCAGAGGCAATAGAGGGCAAGAGAGGGGAGGGGGAGCACCCCTCAAAGACAGGGGCGCGCAGGTCACCACGAGAGGCTCCTACAGCGACTATGCTCTTCTTTGCTGCTAGGAGGCGCTCCTTGAGGAGGTCAACGGTGAGGGTGGAGGGGCAAACAGAGAGAAAGTGGTCCCTGACCGGGCGAAGGGTATCAGGGAGGCGGGTGACTATGTAGTAGAGGGTGATGTACATAGGGGGGGGGTTCTTGGCGCAGAACTCAGCGGGAAGGGCAGCGCGGTAGCGAATGTCACTAGTGCGAAGGTGCGTAATGAGTTCAGCGACTGTGGGAAAAGCTGCGAGGTCAGGGAAGAGGTACGGCACGATGAGGCGGCTAAGTGCAGCAGTGGCACGGGAAGAGTAGCGTGCAACTACAGCGTCGTACAAGGTCTCAGCACTCTTGTACTGGCTAAAGTGCGCACGCTCAGAGGTTGGCAAGTGGCGACGCACAGCAAGACGTGCAGCAGCATCGCGTGTGGCCCACTGTGAGCGAACAGTGGCATCAGCATCAGCAGCATGGGCAGGAGAGGCACCAGAAGTGAGGTCAAAGAGGGAGAGACCGTCTGCCCTATCGCACTGTAGGAAAAGCTGTAGGTCATCTACCCAGACGTCAAAGTCAATGGCTCGACCCTCAGCGTCAAACGCGAGGACACTGGGGGTAGCCATGACAGTAGTAGACTAGCAGCGCGAGCAGTAGGCTAAGGGCAGCGCAGTAGTAGAGGTGCCGCTCTTACTGGTCAGGCGAGACGGACCGATTGTAGAGGACAGGGCGGCTCGGACGGCTCAGCGGCTCGGCAGCACCAGCAGCTCGGCGGCTCGGCGACTCGGCGGCTCGGGCGGCTCGGCGGCTCGGGCGGTTCGGCGGCTCGGGCGGCTCGGCTGGAACGGCGGCTCGGCTGGAACGGCGGCTCGGCAGCTCGGGCGGCTCTGCAGCTCGGGCGGCTCGGCAGCTCCGGCGGCGCGGCTGCTGCAGGTACAGCGGTGGTCGCCGCTGTAGGAGGCGGCGCCGTGGTAGGAGGCGGCGACGGCGGCCGCTGCTTCAGGGACGGCGGCGGCGGCCGCTGCTGCAGAGATGGCGGCGGCGGCTGCTGCTGCAGGGTCGGCGGCGGCCGCTGCTAGAGGCGGCGACGGCAGGCCGCAAAGGGGCCGTAAGGGGCCGGTAGGGGCGGCGCCTGGGCCGGTAAAAGCGGCACCGGGGCCGCGAGGGTGGGGCGACGGAGCCGCTAGGGAGGCTAGGAGGGGTCGCGAGGGCGGCTCGAAAAGGCCGCGAAAGGGCCGCGAGGGCGGCACGAAATGGCCGCGAGGGCGGCGCGACGCGACGGGGCCGCAAGGGCGGCGGATCGGGGCCTCGAGGGTGGCGCGACGAGGCCGCTAGGGCGGCGCGACGTGACGGGGCCGCGAGGGCGGCGCGACGGGGTCGCAAGGGTGACTCGACGGGGCCGCTAGGGAGGCGCGACGCGACGGGGCCGCTAGGGAGGCGGGACGCGACGGGGCCGCTGAGGCGGCGCGACGGGGTCGTAAGGGCGGCGCGACGGGGCCGTGAGAGGGGAGCGCGACTCGGGCAGAGTCTGAGCGCGCTCCTGGCAGGGAAAAAAAATTGGTGGGCCCTAGGAACAGTTCCCACAGGGGAACCTGCTCTATACTATGTGAGAATGAACGAGAATGAAATGACTAAGGGAAAGTTGGGTACAAGTACAAACCCTAGAAAGCTGTACCCCATATGTGCTACCCCACTATAGCCTACAGCAGCTATGTCATATAAATATGACATCTCCGCCCAACATGGTATCTGAGCTACGGTAGCAAAGACAGGGCTCAACTATTTCTACTTCCTACAACAACAAAATACATGGCAACACAGAAGGAAAGGAGCTTGTCTGCTGGATCCCTTGGCACTACTCCTACTCCACCTCCAGTTTCTGGACTACAGACAGAATGAGGCTCAACTGAGAGACCAGCTGCTGAATCCACTGAAGCGCATGTGAATCAATCAACCAGCTTCGACCCAAGCATGATGGAGAAATTCTTCTCCTTCATATCATTGTACGAACAACAACGTAGTGAAACAACAGCGACAACAACAACGGAGTTACTCCCATGAGCCTTGATGGCTCCTCTTTTGCACGTGGAAATCAGCAGCCTACCTTTGCACCATATGAGCCTCAACGCGGCTCCGTCAGCTTCATGCCGAACCGACTTCCACCTGGACAAGAGACGAAGAGACTGGATGCACTTCAGTTGCAGTCACAATTCGCACATGTGCTAAAACTGCAAACGACAACACCATTCGACGGGAAGGACTTCTATACCTGGTCCTTTGAATTCGAACTGATGATAGAAGGTGCTCAAATCCTTGGTTTCTTTGACAGTTCCCTGCCATATCCAACGCATGGGACACAGTATGGCAAGCAGCAGTACATGTATCAGTCACTGATGGCATACACTATTTTCCTGCAAAACATAACGGCAAAGGAGCAGCAGAACATCCGAACTTATCGCGGATAGATTAAATCCGCTAAACTCGCGTACAACCATCTGAAGAACATGTATTAAGCAAACGACAGCGTGAATTAGAGTCCTCTCATGGCGCAATTGACAACAGTCCAAATGCAACCTGGTGAAAAGGGAATGGCTTATATCACTCGCTGCCGCAGTCTACGCGACAGACTCCTTCCGTGCGGCGGGGCACTATCTAAAGACGCCTTCATTACTGTTGTCATCGCAGGCCTCGGTCCTCGACCACGCTCTATCCGGGCCATTCTCTGGGCCCACGGAAGACTCTCGGAAGCAAGGATCTGCGCAGAAATTCATGCCGCGCAACAAGATATGGACCTGCATGAAGAACGACACAAGAAAAGGACATCAATACTAGAGTTTGCTTTTCATACTCAGCGGCGCCACAACAATAGCCGACAACACGAACACCAAGCACGAAGATACGTACCACCATTCCGCCACCTCTGTTGAATGTCCGGTCACTTCCGCGTCAACTGCCCAAATCATCAGTAATCAATGCCACGACCACGTCAGCTTCGACCTTCAAGTAGTCAGGTGGCCTCCACACAGCCACATCCCTCCAACCAGGCACAGTCTTCCAATGTCAACATCACAACATGCACAAGGAACAAGAAACAACATAAGCTGCATGGCAAGAACGGACTCCTGCATCACTGGTTCACCACCGACTTACTCACCAGAAAAACTGCTCGACGAACGCACACCTCGTCGCGAATCGCTGGAACCGAATCCGACATACGCGGCCATCGCTCAGAGCGAGCTGTCCAGCCAAGACACTTGGTTCTTAGACAGCTCCTATGGACAGCATGTGTTCTTCAAATTGCTTTGTTCAATGGGAGCAGCGTCTCAACCGGGAAGTCGTGATAACCATCGCCAATAACCAGAACCTGCAGACACAACGACAAAGAGTGGTTCAGCTGCTATCCCGTAAAACTAACGTTATCCTGTAGATATCAAAGGTCCTGGTTGCATAAAAACTCAGCTACAACTTACTCAGCATAAGCCATCTCATGGCAAAGGGGGTTCACCTCGAAGCCGACAGCACCACTCAGGAGTTCAAACCGTACCACGGGAAGGGCGGACTTTACAACGTCTTCATCCTCAACTTTGTCCCAGATCAAGGCACTGCTGACAGTGACACGATAGTCAACTTCACCACTTGGACGCACCCGCCGGATCTCGACCCCGAATTCAGTCCTAGAGGTTTTTGGTACTCGCACACCATACCTGAAGCAGAACGGACAAGGGCGTTAGCGGTAATACAACAAACAACAGTAGTAGCAGTGACATCGGCAGAAGCAGAAGCAACATTAGCAGAAGCAGCAGTGACATCCGCAGAAACAGAAGCAGCAACAGGGACAACGACACCAGCACCAATCGTCGGCCCTTCAACACCACCACCTCCCATCAATGACTTCACACCGACTCCCGCTCAACAATTGACTCCCGTTCCACGCGACGTCCACAGAAGCGACAACGTCACCGATTTTACTCCAAGTCCGACCTATACAGGCGATCACCTGGACATCGCACCGGCGAATCACTGTGGCATCAAAGGTTAGGACATCCCAGCAACACGACACTGAACAACACGATAAGACCAGGAGTTCTCGACAAAGAATCGCTACTCTTACCAGACGGCAGAGAACTTTAACGAGTCTGTATAACCTGCTTTACCTGCCTCGAAGCCGACTTACCCCATCAACCGTTCGTCTCTCACCACAAACCAAGCGCACCAGCATATGCACTAGAGACAGTCTACAGCGACATACTGTACGCCCGCGAAAGCAGACAAGGAGCTTACAACCACATGATAACATTCATCGACGCTGCCACCAAATATGTCTGGCACCGCATTCTACCAAGCCGCGACATGGCCTTCGAACCCTTCGTCGCATAGCTCCCAGTAGCGGAAAGGGAGTCTGGAGTGAAGCTAAAGAGTTTTTAGTCAAACAGAGGAGAGTATCAATCATAGAAGTTCAAGCAATACTTGGCAGGGAGAGGCATTAAGCGACTCATCTCCCTTCACTACGCCCATCAAAAGCAAGGCGTGGTAAAAAGGATGAACCGGACCCTCTAGAACACCATGCGCAAGCTGCTACGTGGCATACGACCACCCGACAGCCAGTGGCCTGAGGCGATGGACCACGTTGTACTACTGCACAACTTGCTTTCGTCATCCTCGCTTCCGAAAAACGCATCACCGCATCTGCTGTGGATAGGAAAATTGGGCAACCCAAAAATGTTACGAGTTTTTGGCTGCATGGTACAGTACTGACCCCACACTGCACGAGCCGGCCCATTCTCACAACGCACACAGTGGGGACTACACCTGGGCATAAAAAAACACTACAACGCATGCAAAATCTTTGACGCCCACTGGAAAGAAACAGTGGTAGCACATGACGTTCTTTTCTATGAACGACTCACTCTCCAAACGTACCTCGACAACTTGTAGCAGAACGAGACCTCATAGGCGGCTTCCGTGGCAACTGAGCCTTCGCCACGCCAGCAAATGAGGCTGACTGGGATGAGCAAAACGTGGATGGAGCATCGAAGGAAGCCGGGCCTCTGCCCTACTGCTCGGTACCCGTTCCGATGGATGACGACAATCCTCGCGAAAATGTTAACGCCAAGGCCTACTATGACTTCGCTGACAATGGTTACGTTACACCTCAACCCGTCAACACCAATGTTTCGGAACCCATAGGCCCCAATTTCATTCCTGATCTAGAAGCAAGAGACGAAGCAGTCTATCCCGAGGACCCAACTCTCCCACGACTCACACAGAGTGGACTGCAGATTCTCCGCCTCGTCACCGCAGTCCATGGAGCATCGCCGCCACGAGAGCCTCCTTGGGGGGAGCACTGGGAAAAAATGGCGCGAAGCCATGGACAGGGAGTTAAAGGCTCTAGTGTTGAGTGATGCTACCATTCGCATTCACGTCTGTCTGCCTCCCATCATATGTTCGTGCGTTGCATGCGTGTTGTGAGTGTGTGCAAGAATTTGTGTTTTGTGCGGTTTGGTTTTTCTGAGTGTGTGTGTGTGTGTGTGAATGTTATTTGGCTTGAGCAGATATCTGAAGTGACTCCTCTGCTCAAGAGCTTTCCGAGGAACCAAGTATCGCTTCAATCGGAGCACGAACAAGA